AATATTTATTAATCAAATTAAATGTTACAGATTCTAATAAATTCGGGCAGAAAATGTTGGAGAAAATGGGATGGTCGGCGGGCAAGGGGCTGGGAGCCAGTGAACAGGGTATAACCGAGCATGTTAGAGTACCACTTAAGAACGATACTTCAGGTATATCAGTTTATTACATGTTATCTTACATTCACACAAAATTATTCAAAATGTTACATAAATTCAAAATCTGCTTCAGGTATTGGATTTAAGAAGGATGCCCTGGACGAGGCTTGGACAGAACATCAAGACAGCTACAATGAGTTTTTAAAACAGCTTCAAGAGAATGAAGATCATAATGTGGTGAAAATCGAGGAAAATGATGTGCTAAGTGGGAAGTCCTTGGAATTGAAATCCAAGCAAAGTCGTGCTCGCGTTCAGTAAGTATTATATGAAACGTAATTTCTTTTTGATTGTTATAATTTTGTTACGTATATTGAGGTAGAATTCTATTTTTAAATTAGCTACCAGAAGTTTACGAGAGGCAAGGACGTAAATAAGTACAGTTCCAAAGATTTGGCGAACATATTCGGCCAGAAGGAGTTGAGCATTATTAAGAAAGATAAAAATAAGGAATCTGTTCAGGAGGAAAAGTTAGATGAAATAGGAATGCAAGATAATAGAGGTGGTGTGATCACTATAAACGGTGGTAACATGGCAGAATATTTTATGAAGAAGAGTCAGCAGTTCACCTCCACGATAAAGAAAGAACAAGAAGAAATCGAATCAGAAAGCGAACTAACGAAATATGTTGGATTTGGATTTTCCTCGCAGGTTCAGAGGGAAACGAAGTCTGTTGAAGAGGAAGAAGATGCGAAAGGAGTAGGAAAGAAGGTGGAAACTAAAAAGAGCCAACGACATAAAGAAGATTCTCCTAGCAATTATGCTTTTGAAAATCCTTGTATACAATTAGATAGTCCAGAAATTGTTTCTAATTCTAGTAAATGTAAATCGTATAAAAGAAAGTCTTTAGATGATATTAAACCAAGTCCAAGCAAGAAAGTTAAGAAGTTTAAGAGCGATGAAAGCGTAAGTGAGAGTGAATATGGGATTGTAAACGCTGCTATGGATTTAGATGTAGATAATGAACCAGTAAATGAAACTTTTAATGGAAAAGAGTTTGAAGTGCCTAGGGTACAATTTGGTTTAACAAATACTGGCTTAGATTTGAGCGATGAGACAAATGTTAAAAAGAGGAGAGTAACTTTCAATGACCATGTGGAATATAGTACTGATCCTATCAACAAGAAAAAGAAACTTATCACATTGGACAAATTCGAGGTCGAGAACACAAAGAGGAAGAAGAAGAAATCAAAGGATAAGAAAAAGGATCATCATGTAGTCAATGATAATTCGATTTCGTCGGGTTTTGTGAACGAAGCCTTAGAGTTGGTAGAACCCACAGAAGTTAACGATAATGAGATGGTGAATAAGAAAAAGAAGAAGTCAAAGGATAAAAAGAAACCTAAACCAGATGATGATTATACATCGTCTGGTTTTGTAAACGAAGCTTTGGATTTAGCTTCGCTAGAAAAATCTGTGGAAGTGAATGATAACGAAATTAACGAGATCAGTGAAGTCAGATGTGATAATGTGAGAAAAAAGAGAAGTCGCAGATCGAATTTGGAAACAATTATAGAAATTCCAGAGGAAGATGGATTAGATGTGACTAAAAGATCTAAAGTTGAAGATGATATAACTGAAATTGACAACAGCGTGGTCGCTGTTGATAGTAATCAGTTGCAAGACGATGGAGCTAAGAAAAAAGACAAGAAAAAGAAGTGCAAAGGAAATATTGAAGAAGAGCATAAAAAGGTAACAACAATAGAAGAGAAAAAAATAATTTTAGAATCAGGTAACGTAAGATTGGAAGAAGAAGATGAACAAAGTATAAATGAAGAAAAAAGGATAATGGATATTTTACAAGAGAAGAAGATGAGGAAAAATAAGAGCAGTGATCAACTTGAAGAGGAAGTCCAAAATGATACAGAAGCCGTAAAGCTCAAGAAGAAGAAGAAGAAAGAAAATCAAGATAAAAGTATTGATCAAAATTCAGAAATTAATCCAGAAACTGATGGAAACAAAGAAAATGATGTTCATGAAGAATTTACCGAGACCGAGTTGAAAAAGAAGAAAAAGAAGAAGAAGAAAGATAAAGACGAGAATAATCTTAACGTAAGTAAGACAAATGATTTGAATAAATTAGAGGAGGGAACAGAAATTAAGAAAGGTACTCCTAATAAAGAAAGTCGAAAAGAAAACAGTTCGAAGGAAACTGAATTAACAATCGAACCAAAGGAGAATAGCTCAGAAATTCAGTATTCACAGGACAATAATATCGATGCAACACAGAATACTGAATTTCGAAATAATAAAAATAGAAATAGATTTTCAAGTAGTAACAGGAGGTCTTCTACGAGGAATAATTCTAATAATGATAATTCAAGTAGTCCTCGGAACCAAAGATCGAGGATGTCGAAAAAATTGTTAGTGTCATTGTTTAATAAGAGTTCAGTGCACAATTTTCCGGGATCTAATATGGACGAAATAAAAGGATACGGTGTACAATAAGACGTGTACGAATCTTGAGGAATGAGGAAGAAGCTAGTATGTATTTCAAGTAGTTTGTACATTAAAATATTGTCGGTCTACGACAACATCTGTTGACATGCGACTTGCGTATGTACATATAATCATTTTTATTTATTTAAATTGAAAGAGAAATTATATTAGATCGCGTCATAATTTCATACAGTCTATCATATGAAAGCCAAAATTAAAGATAGAAGATATGTTTTAAAAATTTCAATAAAATATTTTATTTTATATTTACAAGATCTCGTATTTTATTTATTACATTATATATATAAATTAAAATGTCCTATTTCTCACTGAGCTATGTTATCTTCTATTTTACGTATTTCCTTCACATCGGTAGTAAGTTTCTGTTTCAATCTGTCTATCTTCGACAATTCGTCATCAGCCAGTTCAATCGTGGTCGTGGGAACACATACATTTTCTGTGGAAAGTATATTGTACCCAAGGTTTGCCAGTTGACTTGCAACCTTATTGGGAAAAAGGAACTCACTTCTGAACTGTAACAGAATGCAAATATAACATTACGATATAAATATATCATTCAACTATAATCACTTATTCACTGTTTTAACGATTCTACCTACTTTGAAACAAGTAACATTATCCTCTTTCACTTCTTTCACATCTTCAGCATCCACTGCTATGGCATCCTCCATTGCTTGGTCAAAAGTACAGTCTTTAGAAACCGTGATATAAGTAATACAGTCGAACATAGACAGCACAGACAAATCCACAGACTTGGTGCTGTACACAAAAAACAATAATTAATCTATATTCTACATCGAATGAGAAACTAAATCCTTTCATTCTATTTACCTGAACCTCTTTAGGATATGCTGTATATTAAGTTTAGTCGTAATAAGATTATTAGATTCAACATGCAGAATCAATAAGACCCCTGATGAAGTTTTAGCAGTGAGTATGTGGGTCTGGCCACTCTCAGGTTTTTGAAATTTTTCTAGATACGTTTTCAAGGTTGCTGCTGGCATATTGATCTTCTTAGCATGATCTACCAAGGTAGCTAACTTAGGATTGCTATTTGGATCTGAGTTTCCAGATTCTTTAACAGAAAGTAGTTGACGATTACAAGTTTATACATAGAAACTAACTGATTTTCTTGGGTAATATTGTAGACATGTTCAAAATTTGTCTAAGAAAATGTCTTTCCTTACCTAGTATTACAGCTTTCATTTTTGACAGTACACTACGAAACAATGCCGACCTGGCTGCATCTTGTGTCTCTTTAGTATGCTTTATATTTTGCCATTTGCTGTGGCCGGCGTATCTCCTGCATTCTTGGAAAATTGTACTTCTACATTTATTGTAAAATAAAACGCTTAATTTATATTTCATAGTTTAACTTTAAGTTAACTTTTAAGTACGAATAGTCTACTATTATTATTATTTATATTATCGTGTTAAAGTGGTTAAATTAGAGAGAAAATGTGAGTGCTCACGCCCGAGGTTTCGCTGTAATGACTAGTAACTTTCTTTTATCTCTCTAGTTAGGGAATTAAAGTTTTCGAATTTTGGCATCAGTAGTTTCCAGTTTGTGTAAATGTGCAATGTGCGAATGGACCGTTCTTCAAAGTTGAATCTTACATTTTACGATTTTTGATCAGGTAACAGCCTTTCTTTAATCTAAAACGTAAATTTTGTACTCTGAACATTATCCCAATTATACTTATGAGCAATCTGACACAAATTATCAGAGAATATCTAGCGATGAAATCTGATCAAGGGACGCGGTAGCATACATTCCGAACGCTAATTTGTTATTGATACAAAGAAATACGATCGTAATTGCTTAGCTAATTTAGAAGATATTGTGTCCTATATCATTTGTCCGAAAACGATCTATAGTTCACGAAATAATTGCGAATCTCTTTCAATGCAGAAAGCCCAATTATAGAAATGAGGAATATTGAACTCCACTTGGTTAACGAATATCAATAGATAATTCCATCGTACCTCTGGATTCTCGTAACATTATATACCACTTTAATCCCCTTTTTTCTCTTTCACACTCATCATCACCCGCCCCTTGCGTATCCACCTACCCTTTTCTCTTCTTTTCTTATTTTTAGTTTTTGTGTTGCCGCTGTTATACGACGTTCTGTATCTAAGTGCTTCAAAGAAACTTTTTCTATTTTATTGTTTCCAGGGGTAGAAGTTATAACGAACACGCAATTACGCCATCCTTATCTCGTTTCTTTACATATATATATATGTATTATAGTATAAAATATATATTTATTACAGTCAAAGTAAACAGAAATATTTTCTAATACTAATCTACATAGGATTAGTATATTCAAACATTTATATTTAAATGATTGTACGATTTTCAATATCTACAAGGGAGAATGTGCTTAAACGCATAGGTGCACGTGCAGACACACACATACATAGTTAAATAGATATAGTTCGTGTTGAATTTTACGAGGGGCGAAGCGTGTACGGCGTTTAATAAAGGGGCGTGGGTGTGCTAGTTAGCACCGCGACGCCCGGCGCCGTGGACGACGCCGTCTGGACGCCTATGGTCTCCTCTCGACGTCATAAGTACATAGACATAGACCGTAGACGTACACATGGACCGGTAGACGTAGATACGGCGCAGATATAGATATAGGGATGCATAGGCACGGCGCACACAGGCGAACGTAGACGCAGACAACTCTTCTCCTCTCTTCTCGCTCTCTTGAGGCACGTTCCGGCACACAAAGTGGTCGTTCTTCTTAAAATCCACCTTGGGAGGACTTTCGCGGAGGATGGCTCGTGTAATATGGCCCCCTTGTTTTATATTTCTTTCTAAAATCTGATTCGTAATTCGAACTACATTCAATTCTCGCATTTGCACTGGTGTTATAATAATTATTTCGATGACTGATGCGACGTTCGATACAATCATTCTTATAGTGGTTCGTAAAATAATTGATGTAGTGGTTGATAAAGTATTTTTGATAGAATAATTTATATAATAATTGATACAATCTTTCATTTAATGATTCATGCAATGTTTGATACAATGAGTCTTATAATGGTTCGTAAAATAATTGATGTAGTGATTGATACAATGCTTTGTTTAATAATTAATCAAATGTTTGATAGAATAATTAACTTAAGAATTGGACAATGTAACAGGGCTGTTTAATTAGTTATTATCTTTTTGCGTTTCTTCTCATTGCCTCGGCTTATTGCTTCGATTTCGATTTGATTCGATGCGATTGTACCGGGAAGGAGATTCGAAACGTATTTAGCCAGCAGTAAAACTCTTAATGAAAACGACCTTTCCACAAGTGGCAGTAAAATCTTTTATATATACATACGTACAGCGGAATCGGTGTGGAATTTACTAGGCGATCGTATAAGTGAATGTCTATTCTATCAAATCTTGAGAATCTTCTATGCTTAAGATGAAATCATATCCACGCGAATTTGAAATCATGTATGAAATGTATTTAGTATATTTTTCAGTCTAATTCAGAACCATTTCATCGATACATACATGATCTTAATACCTCTTTTCATTTTTTCATTAGAAATTAGTTAAAACATTGGAAACTGAGAAATCGTTTATATAGCAGAGATCTTTTTTTTTTTAGCGACTGTGTACATACGTATTTCTATATGAGGACCTCTACCTGTGTACATATGTCGTATCCAATAAAGGAAGGTAAGGTTAACGACGGATCGTTAACTTAATGAACGATGGGAACACATAGTGCTAAAACTTCCATCCATATCCACACCCACACCCCACGTACGTTTGTAAGTACGTGTGTTTGCGCGTGAAAACGTTTGCGAAGAAATTACAGTTGACATCCATTGTCCTCGTACGTATCCCTAATGGGGGATCGAACCATATCGATCACCGCTCGTTCAACTAACAAATAGTAGTTCTAAAATAGTTTCACCGTCTTCTTGTAACCGAACAGGTAAGAGACTGAACTCCAGTTCTCATGTAACGTAATCAGTTACGTCGGTGGGAATTCCAAGTTATTTACACGGCTGTCTGGAAAATTATTATTACAATAATTTATTGAAATTTATGTGAATTCATTCTTGCACGGGATAATTTATTCAGGTCTGTTCAGTCGATTTGTACATTTAATCTATAATATCGGTTTTAATCGAATTCAAGGACTTGGGATTAAAAATCGAATACTTTGGAAATATGTTGAGAGGGGGAGTCCAATCAGCGGGCACGGTCTGTAATTTCCTCGGCATCTTTGTTTGAGATCAATGTGTCCACGGGAAACTTTCTCATTTCGACGTCCCCGAAATATATACTCTGTCATTTAACCCGGCACGAAGTGGATGTAAATACGAGCACGCGCTATCAACTTTGACAGTCCCGGCAATTTTTACCTCCCTCGTGTAATCAGTGATTTTATATCCGTGATGAGTTCTTTGCTTCGTTGATTAAAGAAAGTCTTCTTCTCTTATGTACAGTAAATATATACGTATTCTCTGTCTTATAGATAAATAATCGTTTCATTCATTTTATTATTAATAACAAATATCATAGATTCGCTGTAATTCTATTATAAAGTTTACAGTTTAATTGATTTTGACAGATTTTATTATTAAACTGATTCGCTCAGTGTCTGGGAAATCTCGATTTTAGTGAGACGAAGGTGTCGGACACGTAGAAACTATTCATACGTTGGGCGTACGGTGGGAAATGGAAAGCGTGACGGGGTGAAAGAAGGGGTGGGTTGAGTTTTCTCGATCCCTTAAATTTGGGGTCGCACGATCCACTTGTTGGCCAGGCCAAGCAACAGATGACCTATGCGCTTATATTTGTGTTCTAACCGAAAATCGATAATTGCCAATTACTGTTACTTCGATTTAAATCACTTTATTATTTTCAATCCTTCTCGTCGATACAACTTGTTACCGACATATTCTGAATTGTTCACATCTATTTTACAGATGAACGTTTCCAACCGTAATAATATAAATGATGATACTTAAAAGCAAATGAGATACGTAATTAGGAATGAGAGTGCATCTGTTTAAAAAAAAGGATGTAATTCAAGAGGTCGTCTCTCGAGGGGATTCTTCGTTACGTGGATGTTATTGCAAACTAACTTAATTTCTCATTTACCGTTCAGCCACTATCTAACTTTGTTAATAAAAAATCGATTCACCTTCTATCTGGCTTATTCCCTCGTCTCATTCTCACTCACACATTTTCTCTTCCATCAGACGTATTTAAGCCCAGTAATCCTCGTGTCTGGGAATCAATCGTACTCTACTTGAGTTTGCAATAAACATCTCGTATATATGCGATCTGTTATGCGTACATCAGAATTTTGCACAGATGTTTTATTAGGTATTGAAAATCGTTGATTGGTTCTATATACATGGAAACAGCATTAGTTCCATTCTCACCCCCTAAGATGTATCGAAAATGAAATAAAGGGAAAATGGTGTAACGTGACTAGAACTCTGGTACCCCGTGGCTCTCTCAAAATGGACTCCCGGTGGCACCCCGGGTGCCCGAGTGCCCCTAAACGCGATCTATTTACGCGGAGTAATATCCTGTTCGACGAAATTACTTTTTACTCGCGCGAGTCACCCGCTGCGACTTAACGGCGGACTCAATTTTCGTTTTTATCATTGCCGGGGGCAAGGAAGGAAACGGAAATCAAATCAAGTAAAACTATAAACGAAATAAAATGAAACTGGGACCGTGAACTCGCAAACGATCGCACTATGAGCGATATAAAAACTTTATTGTGTCCGCTAACTGCATAATTGTTTCGCTCGAAACACCGCAATTTTTAATTCGATAGCGCCATTACTATGGGAATGATAAAAATGCAAAATCTAATTGGAATGATGTATGAAGCGGAATAAAAAAATCTGGACAGTGAGAATAATTTTTTGCAGCCAGTGTAGAATGCGCAGTAAATCAGAAAGGGGGGAAAAAAAGAACGGCGGAAAGGGGAAGAGCGAGGAGTAAAAGGGGGAAAGAGGTTGAAATTGAACGCGCAGGCGTCATTTTATGGTCACCGTCGGCCATCTTGCAACGATAAGGGTCGAAGGGGGTTGAAATAGAGGGGTAGGGGGCCGGGATATAACCGTTCTTGGTATCGAACTGCGCTCCAGTGGCTACGGGGACAGAGACAGAGACATGAGAACCGGCTTCTCGCTCCTTTTGCGTTTTCACGAGTTTCCTCGGCTCCGGTCGATCTTCATCGGATCCCTCGCGTTTTTCCATTTTTATCTCAGCCCGTACAAATAGTTCGTGTCACGGTTTTTATCTAAATTCTTCTCAATTTTTCCTCTGTCCTCCTCGGGTCTTTTTTCGGATTAACGAAAAACAAAGTTGTGTCCCGACGATAAGATTGAAATTATCTGGATTACGTTCTCCGCGTGTAACTACCATACGTGAGTCACTCAAAGTATGTACGTAACGTATACGAAATAAAA